TTTCAATAATCAGAAAAGGGTTTACAGAATAGAGGGATACCTCCTTGGATTACTAACAGGCCTATTTATAACCCCAGGAGTAAACCTAGGCACAACATGTAATTACAACATTACCCCTGTACCATACCGTGGGGCTTTGCCCCCGCACCCCAACCCACGTAACTTCCCAATTTGGACAGATTCTTCCCCTCCGCTCCGCTTCGATCCAGCGTCTGTCCCGATATGATATATGAGTCATACCATAACAAGAACAACAAAGGTGGAAAATTTGATTAAGTGATTTTTTAAACAAAGATCCGTTAGATATATATTATTTATGTGATAATAATATAAGAGAAACGTGCTGTTACAACTAGGAACTAAAGTTGATCAATTTACACATAAGCTGATCTCAAGTTGTAACAGAGCGACCAGTAATAGGAGCCCTAAGCTGTCACCACAGACACCCAATGACCTTTAATGATTTTGCATCAGAAAATCTGCTACTCTTCATGAAGCAATTTATGTGCTTCTATTTCAACAGCATGTTCACAAAAAAATAAAAATCAAACTACCCAATTCTGAATTATATCGCAGCCACACTGTAGGTAGAGATGGCTCGCAATCTCAAAGGTCAACATGTCTACAAAGATTATATATGTTGAATCCAGGATCATTCTAATGCATCTTAAGTATCCCAGACTTTAACTAGCGTTTTCTTAGCATACATCACAAAACTAGAAACAGAATCAAACATTTTCAAGGTGCATTTTTACATCTAGCAATTACGAACTGGGACAAATGCTTTCATTTACAAATAAGTACTTATATTAACCTGTGTGTTTGATGGTAAGAAGGGTAGTTCTGTTCTCCCAGGATAGAGAGAAAGGTTGGCCAAATAGCTTTCTGCAGAGTATAGCCACCAAGTAAGATGGAGAAAATTTGTAGATAAAAACGTGAAATAACAAAAAAAAAAATCAGGAGAAAAGTGCATACGCTTTCCTGATTCCACGACAGTTCTATAAAGTGACCCCTGAGTCAACCTAGGTACGTCAATGGTTGATACACCACCATTTTCAGTTGAAGGTTCTGCTGCAACACCTACTTGGAGCAAACAATTTCCACCATGCACAACAACGAAAGATCTGCAACATGTTGCAGTTGATAGAGATTCCCATGCCCTAATTGCAGAGCATCATTTTGTCAACCAGATTACATGAGACAAGATGCTTCTTATTTTTTATATATTCAATTTGCTATATTAAGAAAAATAGAATGGACAACCCAAACAATTAAAGAAAAAAATCATCTCAAATAAAAAAATCATAAGGACCTTAAAATTTTCTTCTCTAAATGTTACCATAACAACTCAGTAGCTGAACATTCAGGAAGAGCAGAATCAATCCATCTGCATTCTATACCATGAGGAGCAACCTGCTCATCAATGGAAATTTAGAAATCAATGAGCCTCCTTTTCATGTTCTATCTCCAACTCTCACACCAAAGCAAATGGATCCTACAAAGTCCTCACCGAAGAAATATTTTTTGGTTGGATTGACAACCAAACAAGTCCAGTAAGAAGATTGGTTACTGCCAGAGCAAGGGTCAGTATATCTGCCCTCGATTGTGAACTGTAGATAATAGGTGCCCATATCAATTTGTATTCAGTATATTGCAATGGTTAGTTATGTAAGAAAATTAAATTATATTCCATTTTTAATAAAAAATCCTTGAGCAGAAAATCATTAAGTGCAAAAAATAAATTACCAACATTGTGAATGCAGTTGAGCAATAGGAATAAAATCATTTAAGAGACAACTTAGACGTAGTGAATCTTAAGAGGAGCACACATAAAGGCTTTATTACCCTGCAAGCCTTTTTCGTATTTTTTTGGTATCGTATAATCAAAATAACTCAATATCATACATTAGCATGTTGACTAAAATGGTAAGGTTTGGCAGATGTGCTAAAATTATACACACCATTCAACCTCTTCTGTTTATTGTTTTATTAACTTTTATACACATAGCTCAAACATAAATTATAAGTGACAATAAGATCTTTCCATTTGCATACTCACCCCATCTGCTTTCAGTAGAACCCTACAATTTCTTGTTTAGGTTTCAGCACAGGATGTGTAGCCAAATAAGGAGGGGATTAGTGGTGAAGGTTCAATATATCATGAATGTATTTGCAATTATGTTAAAAGTAGTTATAACCTATTAGCCTCAGCAACTATAAGAGAGGTAATATTTTCATCTTCAAAGAACATTAAACTGACATAAGTACCGCAGCTCATATTATATCATCACTGTTATAATAGATGTGAATACCAGAAACTGAAGTAAAGACATGGGTGGTGGTGAGGAATGAGACATGATATTTTGAATTGAATATTTTCATTCAGAACCAATTCCCCTACATAAGCAATTCCTGATCATATGTGATTAAATTTGAAACACTTTGTTGGCAAACATTTCCATCATCACCATTAGTCTTATCCCAACTATTTGGGGCCGGCTTCATGAATCCCTGTTTTTCATTCATTTTTTTGAGTTCTACATGAGGTGTTAACTATATTCTTCATAAAACATTTGAATACCTCCTATCCATGTTGTCTTAACTATACCTCTTCACCTTCGGAATTTTTTTAGATAATTTTGCATACTTCTCTAATGGATGCATTTGCTATCCTTCATTGTACTATACAAACTACCTAAATTTATTTTCAATTACTTTATCCTTGGAATTTATCAATCCAGCCATGCTTTTTATTATAACCATTTCATAATTTATCCCTCCTAGTTTTGTTGCACATCCAACTTAATGCTCTCATTTCTATCATAACCACTTAAAAAGCAAGGCTTTTTTCATTGTCCACCACTCAATTCCATAGGACATCATCATTCTAATTGTCTTTTATATAATTTATGCTAAGGCATTATGATATCCTTTGATCATATAATACACTTGAAACACTTTTCAATTTTAATCATTCAACCTTAAGTCTAGAATTATATCATCATTATTCATAGATAAAATAGATCCTCTACTAGCATACACATAAATAATACATGGTCAAACAATAAAAATGGTCTAAGAAAATTAAACTAGCCAAAAAAATTCTACAAAAGGATGCATCTAAAGAGTAAAGTTTCCAAACAGAACTAAAGATACAACTCCGGATTGACACTTTAGCAGATGATACCAGTTACATCAAGTATTAATAATTCTTTAATGAGAACCTATCAGCAGAAAGATATCATCATTAGTAGCAGCAGCCATCACGTCCTAATTTTTTGAGGTTAGCTTTACTATTTTCCATTCATTCTCATCAAGAGTTGTATTGCTTTTAAATTCAGTTTCACTTAGCCACTGTTTTAAAATCAATTTTCACCTACTTATGTGGCGAACAAAAAACTGAGAGAAATAGGAAATTGTATGTTTATTTCTTGCTAGGAAAGGACATACGAGTTACAATGAAGATCCTAAAAGTTTTTTTTCTCATTTTTCATTAAGGCTTAGGAAATTTTCAATGAAAAAAATTGGGTAGGTGAATACAATTACATTGAAACCAAACACAAATGTAAAATTGCGAAGTAACATGAATTTGAATTATTCCCAACTCCTTTGATATGTCTTTTGAAAAATCTTTAACCATGTTAATCCTTAAATATTCAGCAAAATTTAGGTTTGTATTAAATCATTGGTGCTACTCTTCCCTAATACATGTTTATACAGTATCCACCTCCTGCTATCATAAATTCAAAGGTAATCGCCCCTAAAATTTCTCTGGTAAATAAATTTAGGTTAGCAAAGACTCCTAGGTAAATTCGACAAAATTATAATTAGACAAACTATGTTATATGAAAGTGATTGTTGGGAAATAAAATGTTTAAACTAATGTCATGCAAATTTAGAAGAAATATAACAATAAATAATTATATTATAAAAACATAATGGGAACACCTCCTAAAGAATATAATCTATACCAATTTAAAAAGGCCGCTTAAGATTTTACCAAGAGAAAATCCAAGCTATTAATTATTTTTTTAATCCAGGACAGTAATTCTATCTAATTTTTTACCAAACAAACAATTAAAAATGTGTTTTAATAATTCATTTAAAACTTCATAAATATTTATAATATTTATCCATTCAGTTTTTTTTACTATGAATGCTTTATCGGTCGTAAATCTAGGTGTAATTAATCAACCACTTCTCCTTCAAGATACTCATGGGTTCAAGACCTACGAACATCCTATGCATGACATCATTCACATCATTTATATTTCTCTCTGAATAAGTCAGATTGACATCCTATGCATGACATCATTCACATCATTTATATATGATCCATTCATCTCTGAATAAGTCAGATTTCTTAGTGGTTTCTTTAGTTTGGATTTATTATCCAATGTAGGGCAGGAAAGAGTTTTGAAGCCATGTTTTCATCATGAATATTCTACTTCCCAAGGTATGTGTGTGTGTGTGTGTGTTGCGTTCCCCAACTCTTTGGTTGGCATCTGCTATGTCAGTCCAAAGTCCCCTGGGGTTGGGGGTTCGATCCCGCTGGTGTGCAGATCAGTCAAGTGGTAAGGCATATGAGATTGGATGGGGCTCATATCATAGCCTATGGTCCATCATTATATATATATATATAATATATTCTTGATTATGGAATTGGGCATTTTCAAGGTTTGCTGGCAGAATTGGTTTAGTAATTTTCTTGTGCAGTTAAATTAGGTAATTGTCCTATCATTTGAATAGGGTAATAAAGTTTTGGTTTTGTTGGCTTTTTTGTTTCTGTACACTCAAACTGTTGTTTATGCATCAGAAAGAATATCATGAAAAACAGTTCACATTCCCTAAAAAGTAAGAGCAAAGAGCAGTAAACCTTGGAACAACAAAAGAAACGAAGTAAAAGAGCATCAGAAAGAAAATAAAGAGACAAAAACAATTGCCAGCAGTCAGTTCCATTTTGTAACTAAATCCGATTTGTTCGGCCCTCTAAAGACCAAAAAACATTAAAAAGAAGAGGCACAGTTTGAGCCATGATTTGGGCGTCGAAAGAAAAGGAGCAAAACAGCATTGTAAACAGAACAAACGATTAGGGGATTGTTTAGAAGAAAAAGAAGACCTCGACGCATCGGCCACGGGGGCAATGCCAGAAAAGGTTCGGTTGAGAAGCACCAAGATCAGAGAGGTCCCTCCGGTGAAGATGGGAACAATCCGGGCCACCCCATCGTTGCCGAAAACCCATTCGGCGATCGGATTCCGGCGAGGCATCGGCACCTTAAAAGCCCCGGAAGACGCTGGAGGAGGAGGAGGAGGAGGAGATAACGAAGATACGAATTGAACGGAGCGAAATTTTGAGAGGAAACGGGATTGATGGCGCGTAGGAGGGCAGCTCCACGAGGAAGAGAGAGTAGAGATAAGGGGAAGCAGTCCCGCTTCCATAGATCAGTAGCTCTGTAACAATTCCAATTAAAAATTACGAGTATTGCCATTCTTGGAATTTATACTCCAATTTTTTTTTTTAATCCTATTTTTTAGTCGGGCCAAATTTCAAAATCAATTCGAATGAATTGAATTTGAATCTTAGTCGGTTTGTGATTTGTAATGTTCAATTTCGAGCCAGTTTGAGTCGAAATTGAATTGAGTTTGATCGTGCTTGAAATCGAATCGAGCTGGCTCATATTTGAATCATGTGGATGTGTTCCAGCTCGAAATCAAATCGATCTGGGTCGAAATCGAAACAAGATGGCTTAACTCCTACCTAAAATAATTTTTTTTTTGTACGAGGTATTTACATATATGTCATCCAATTTATATGCATTTACAAATCTAATATTTAGGTTTTATAATTTATATTTATACTACTAAAATCATTTTTATCATATTAAAAATATAGTTATTTTTTATTTTTAAAGTGTTGAAATACAATTTTTCATGCAAAAATAAGACAGTATGTACGTAAAAACTGAAATTTAAATGTTAGATATTAAAATTCATAATAAATTTTCTATTTTTAATTAGCTAGACAAACGGGTCGTGTATATTATCTTCGAGAACTTCATGGATCAAGAGATAAAGTTGATTGGGCAGTATTCATAATAAGTAAACATAAAGTGACTGTTGATAATCAAAATGCTATTGAACTTGCTCATAAAGAAATAAAAATGACAGATTTATGTATTTCACTCGATTCTATTCATGAAGAGCTAAATTTTGAGGTTGCTAGTGGTGAACCCGAAGAAATAAATCTCAATGAGTATGGCTTTAGCGATGCTTTGAACGAGAAAATTTTAAGTACATCTTCTTGCGACTCATCAGACAAGATTGGTTAAGATGTGTAAATTACTCCAAATATTCTGATAGATTTGATTTTAGAATTACTTGATTTAAATTAGCTTAATTTTGTAAGCTTAGTTTTACTTTATATTTACTTTATAAATTTTTATTTTCAGTTCACGTAGTTTGTAGATTGTACCGCTTAAACTTAAAGGAATTTTTTATAAGATGTTGGTGAGACCTGCAATTCTTTTATGACAGAGAATGTTGGTCTTTAAAAGAGAAGCAGAAAACTAAGTTAAGTGTTGTTGAGATCATGAGAATGCTTAGGTGGATGAGTGGCTTGACATTTAGAGACAAAATACGCAATGAATGTATCCGTGAAAAGTTCGTGTAGCTCTAGTGGCAGACAAGATTAGAGAGTTACTTTTGATGGTTTGGTCACATTAAACATTGATCCTCAAATAATATGGTTAGAAGAGTAAATGCTTTAGATTCAACTTATGTTAAGAAAGGTAGAAGGAGACATAAAAAGACTAAGGTAGAGGTAGACCTAAAAAGATTTATAACAAATGATCTTATTTTTTTAGAATTAAATGAAAATATGACACTCAATAATACACAATGTGGAAAAAGAATTCATGTAGCCGACCCCACTTAGTGGGATAAATGTTTGTTGTTGTTGTTGTTGTTGTTGTTGTTGTCTGTATATTGCACTTTATATTTTTTTCATACTTTCATCTAATGCTTTTATTTATATTTTCAGTGGTGGTGTTTTATCGATTGTTATTTACAGTCTCACCAGATTTTTGCTGTGTAGATTTATGTTTTTAGTTTCAGTAATTTGTAGATTGCACTTTATATTTTGCCCATACTTTCATTTGAGGCTCTTACTTATATTTTAAGTTGTGATAGTTTGTATATTGCACTTTACAGTTCTCTCTTCTCGTTTATTGTGTAGCTCTGTGTTTCAGTTCTAGTAGTTTGTAGATCGTACTTGATACTATGATTGTACATTTATTTAAAGTCTTGTGCACTAATTCCTTGTTTCAGATAACTTCACAATATTGGCTGCAGCAATCGTCTTCCTCCTCGCATGGGATGGGACATAGT